TTTTGAAGCACTGCTGTTAGGTGCATACACACTTAAGATTGTTATGTCCTCTTGGTAAATTTATCCTTTTATTGTAACGTAATATCTGTTTTTCTCTCTGGTAATTTTCTTTACTCCAAAGTCTCCTTTAGCTGATGTATTATAGGCACTCCAGGGCCTGGCATGGTGGCTCACACCTATAATCCCAGCACTTTGGGAGGCCAAGGCCAGCAAATCACTTGAGCTCAGGAGTTCAAGACCAGCCTAGACAACATGGTAAAACCCTGTCTTTACAAAAAAAAATAAAAATAAAAATAAAAAATTAGCCAGATGTGGCAGTGCACACCTGTGGTTCCAGCTACTTGGAGGGCTGAGGTGAAAAGATTGCTTGAGCCTGGGAGGTTGAGGTTGCATTGAGCCATGATCACACCACTATACTCCAGCCTGGGTGACAGAGGGAGATCCTATCTCAAAAAAATGTGCATATATATATATTTATTTAGAAACAAATAATGTATATTAATATATTTTTATCATATACTATATAAAATAAATAATAAATGTTAACATATTTATCCTATTAAATATATATTAACATTGTTTATTTCTAAATAATGTATAGATTAAATAATACATTTATATACAGGCACTCTAGCTTTCTTTTAATTAATGTTCATATAATTATATCTTATTAACCTACCTATACCATTGTATTCAAAGCATTTTTCTTTTTTTTGAGATGGAGTCTTGCTCTGTCACCCAAGCTGGAGTCCAGTGGTGTCATTTCAGCTCACTGCAACCTCCACCTCCCAGTTTTGTGATTCTCTTGCCTCAGCCTCATGAGTAGCTGGGACTACAGGCACGTCCCACCGGCCCCCGCTAATTTTTTGTATTTTTGGTAGAGATGGGGTTTCAGCGGGTTAATCAGGATGGTCTTGATCTCCTGACCTCATGATCTGCCTGCCTGGGCCTCCCAAAGTGCTGGGATTACAGATGTGAGCCACTGCGCCCAGCCCAAAGCATTTTTATTGTAAGGGCATTAAATTTCTTGTTCAGATAAGCTTGCAAAAGACAATGTACTGAGAATGCAAGACATGATCAAGATTTCACTAATTTTGAAGGTAGTGAATTAGCTGAATTTGGTTCTGATCAAGTTAAATCCGATAAAGGGCTTGCCGAAAATAATTTTAAATAAATTTGTAAAAGCTTATTCTAATAATCTCTGTCTTTTATTTTGTTTAGATATTTTACACAATGCAATTATTATGTTTGGATTTATGTCTACCATTTTGTTATTTGATTTGTATCTTTTTTTTAGTTTTTTTCCTCTTGTTTTTCTCTTCCCTCGTTTTGGATTATTTAAACATTTTGATTATTCCATCAAAACATTTTTATTGTGGTAAGAACGCTCAACATGAGGTCTATCCTCTTAACCTATTTTAAGTGTGCAATACACTATTGTTGACTATAGGTATGATGTCGTGCAGCAGACACCTAGTGCTTATTCATTTCACGTAGCTGATATTTTATGCCTGTTTATTGACAACTTCCTATTTCCCCCAGTCACCATTTTAGTCGTTCATTTTATGCAGTTGACTATTTTAGTTACCTCATATAAGTGAAATCATGCAGTATTTGTCTTTCTGTGCCTGGCTTGTTTACATAGCATAATGTCCTCAAAGTCGGTCCATACTGTGATTTATTGTAGAAATTCCTTCTTTTTACAGGCTGAATAGTATTTCAATGTCCATCATGTTTTAACAATATTTGATGTTTTGTTCATTTGTGTTAATGGCTACCCAATGGAATAAACTGTTACGATTTTCACATTCTACTCAGAATCAAGTGTGCCACTTCAAGTGGTAAAGAGACACCTTACCATCATCTAGACCCCTTATCTGACTCCTTTATGTTGCATTACATTTACCTATATTGAAAATCCTACCAGAAAATGTCATCATGTTTGCTTTTAATAAATCGCATCCTGGATGTTTTAAATATTATGCTATACAATTCTAGATCTTGTTGAACTCTTATGTAGAATGTTATTTTTGCTTCAACAGGAAATAAACCCAGTGGGATTAAGGCTCCAAATTAAGCCTGTGGCTTTAATTTCAGTTTTGTTTCACTTTCAGTTCTATTTAGACCTACTTCATATTTATACCTTTCAGCGGCCCGTATGGAACTCAGAAAGTGATCTCTCCTATAGCTCAATTCTCAAAGTTTATGGTATTCCCTTTAGGATCAGATTCATACATGCATAGATTGGGAATGAGCCCAAAGGTGTATAAACAATTGTATGTGTTCAGTTTCCTGAGCTCCTCTTGGCCTGTACCCTCCTCCTCTGTGCAGTTCTCTGGCCAAAGCATTGAGGCTTTATTTATCTCACTCTGCAGTGCACTTCCCACAACTTCTTACATCCATGTAATGAAAGGGTAAGAGGAAAAAGAAAAAATAAAACACAATAGAGGTTTGCCACACCCTGTTGGGACTACAGGTCCTCATGTCAAGGTAGACAATTCCTGTCCTCAGAGATGTAGGCTCTCGAGGGCCACTAATGCCACTGTGTTTGTTGGTGTCACCGCTGCTACCACAGGATTGCTTAGAGACTGGGCAGTGAAAGACGTGAAATGGAAAATATGGGAGGGCTAGAAAACTCCTTCTCAGTCTTCAAGCCAGAACTAAAGTCCTTCTCAAGCTCTTTCTGTTATTGCTGATGTTTACTTCTGAGTTTCAGACTGTACTGAGTCTAAGTCAGAAGAGACTGGGGACAAATTATGAGACTTTGAATTATTGTTTTCTCCAATCTGTCTGCTTCTGTTTACTTTCGGAATACTCAGATTGACTTTAATGCATTTTTATCCATACTTTATAGCTGTACTAGGAGGAAGAGACAGGATTGTGGTGTTTACTCCATCTTACCTAGAATTTCAACTTAGAAATAATATAGATGTTAAATGTAGGTATTAAAACCTACAAGGGACCAGGAAAGCCATGAGAATTGCTTGAGCGATCACAGAAGGGTCAGTAAGGAGTACTCTATGACGTATGTCAGAGATAGGGTGACCATCATCCAAGGTAGAATACTTTTTCAGAGTAAAAGAGAGTACTATAATAATAATACTTGGACAATAAGTGCAACCAGGAACTAGAATATATAGACACCTTCCTTAGAAGATGTGATAAAAAAGTAATACTCTTTTCTAATTATATTCCACTAAGTCCAATTGTTCTATTGCAATCAGTATCCTATACATAGAAATTTCGTTTTGGTTGTCTGCTTTCTTGTGGTTAATTGACATGTAAGAAATATAAATAGCCCCCTGTCCCAAATGCTGCTTTGTTACCTTCACTGTACCTACCAGCCTGGAAAGAGTGTATTCTGTAAATATTAGAAGTAGCTCTTTCTTTTTCTGTGTACCTGCTAACCTGAAGCTCGATTTGATTTTCTTTGAGGCTAAGGACAAAACGCTGAACCTCTGGATAGCTTGGTTCTAGCATTATCTATCTTAGGACAAACTGAATAAACCGGCCAAAAGAAGTCTGAGTCTTAAATCTCAGCGAGTGGCTGGCAGGAAGGCCAGTGATCCTGGCCATCACCAAAGCACAATGGCACCGTGACAGTATGGGTTCCTCTTCACTGAGACCCTGCAATGATCCTTCCCACAAGAAACTTCCTCCAAGAATAATTTATACCCTTTAACTCATCTTTAACTTTATCACTGAAATTTCCAACAAGGATGTTGCTTGGTGCCAAAGCCACAGTGGTTTTTATGATGTGGGTGCCTCTGTGAATAAAGAGTCAAAGTGTTTCACACAGGCCCCAAGACGATCATGACTTTTAGCCACTCTGAACTTGGATCACATCCAGACCGGTGGATGTGACACATTGCATGTGAATGAGCCCAGACGTTGCTTTTATTTATTGCTCAGATGATAAATCATTTTATTCCATTAGAGAAGACAAAGTATAAGAGTTTGATATCCATATGCAAGTGGAATACTATTTTAACTGCAGGATAAACTGTTGTAAAGGAAACACACTTGTGAGGGGGAAACTGGCTTCCTCTATCACAAACAATTTCATGGCCCTGCAGCCCATTACCCCATTACTTTGGAGGATTTAAAGGGAGACCCCCCAGATCGGAAGCATACAGGATTGCCAGACTCAGCAGACGGTTCAGGCTACAGTTCTGTTCACATTCCATTCTTGCTGCCTTTTAACCAGTGTATATCCTTATTTCCCAGACTCTTAGCTGCACTGCTGACTCTTGCCAGTGACTCTCTGCTTTGTATGTCACTGCAAGTCCATTCCTTGTCTCTTCATTGGCCTGATCATTTTGACCCAGTTGGTCTATACTTCCAGGGACCTAGGGTAAGGATTTACACTTTATACCGAACACGAAGATTTCTGGCCGATATCACAAGGAGGAACTGAAATTACCTCTACTCTTCTTTTCAAGCCTATATCCTGGCACAGACTACATTTGGCAAAAAGGAAAGGGATTCTTCCTTTAGTTCTTCCACCCAGAGTGGGCACTTCGCATAAGCACACAGTAGAAACCAACCCTAGCCTTGTCTATTGTGGGTGCTGTTGGTCTCTACCCTTTATGCTCACTTTCTGTGCTTCAGAGTTGTTGGCTGACCATGGAGTAGAAATTGTCTTCTTTACAGAAATGCTTTAGGCAGAGTTTAAATCACTTGTTTCTAAGGCGGGGGGTGGTGGCTCACACCTGTAATTCCAGCACTTCGGGAGGCTGAGGCAAGCGGATCCCCTGAGGTCAGGAGTTTAAGATCAGCCTGGTCAACATGGCGAAACCCCATCTCTACTAAACATACAAAAATTAGCCGGGCATGGTAGTGCACGCATGTAATCCCAGCTACAAGGGGAGCTGAGGCAGGAGAATTGCTTGAACCCAGGGGTCAGAGGTTGCAGTGAGCCGAGATTGCGCCACTGTACTCCAGCCTGGGCAACAAGAGTGAGGCTCTGTCTAAAAAAAAAAAAAAAGAAAAATCACTTGTTTCTAATAAAATAATATTTGTTTGATTGCAAGTATATATAAAGTCATATGCACAATACATGGTAGACATGACAGTCCCTAGCCACAAGGCAGAAGTAGCTGTATTTTCTGATTCTGCTTGGACCACTGGGAAATCTTAGGGGTGTTGTGTACTGAAAGTACCCAAAGTCTAGAGAATTCACTCCCTCTCTGTCCAGTCCAGGAAATCAAAGGCTCTAAACCACAGTTTCAATCCCATTCCACTGTCCATCAAGCTTGCTGGTGCTGGCAGGAGACTCTTTCAAGCCTGAACACACACACACAGAGCTGTGAGTTTTGTCCAGCAACATCTTTATCCGAGGGATTGGATTGGGAGGGGGCTCCCGGGCTCATTTCACTATTTCTTAGGCTGGGAGCTCCTCCCAGTGGTTTCTGTTTTACTGAGTCCTTTCCACTGAAAAATCCTAGAGGTAATTCTAAGCTGGTTCCACGTGAATCCTTGAGAGTTTTTTCACAGGCATGTGGTAGCGCATTTGGGTCCAGAACCTAGAATTGGGAGGAACTGATTTTAAGCCTCTCCATGCAACTGTGGGCAAAACCCTGAGAGCTTTTTTCACAAGATGAGGTAGAGACTCTGGCTCTTGGAAGTAACAGAACTTAATTAAAATGAGCTTCAGTGTTTGATCATTCAAGGCAAGATTCACTGCTGCTTGTAGTTCAAAGACACTGGGTCCGTTGACATAGTTGGGGCTCAAGATAAATATTCCTCTTCTGCTTCTCTTAATAATGCTCACAATGTCTTCTGCATACACTGGAAATAAAACATTTGATTATTTGCAGTTGATATTGTTAAACCTTGAGTCAGAAAGCTCTTTGCAATGGATTCTCTTACATAGAAGGAAAGGAGACGTGTTCATTCTACCACTTACGCTTTATCAACTCTATTGCCAGTGGAATATACGCTCCAGTGTCTAGTGACTCTCAACTTTACATTCCCCGCTTTGTGTTTGGTCTCCCCAAATTGGCAATTCCTCTAGGAACAACGCTGACTGGAACTAGGTAAGCTGGGATAACGGGAGCCGTGGAACGTCCCAGCCTCCTTGGTGGAGGTATCTGGGGAGGAGGAGACCAGCAGAACAGACTGAGATCTGGACCTCTCAGGGTGCCCAGGGCTTGGCCCAGGCCTGAAAAAGCCTGCTTGACCCAGTGCTGAGTGAGCTTTGTGAAATGCAGAGTCTCAGAAATCAGAGGGGCCACTAAATTGGGGTGACAGAGAAAATCTTCATCTGTGAAGCCAGGAGAGGTATCTTTGTCTTAGAAGGCCTGCCTAGGACCCCATATCATTTTTTCTTCTGCAAATGGATCTGTTTGATAATGGAGCACATCTCTGGAACACCTAGTTTCTGTGTTGTTGCCCAAGACGTTCTAACCTCATGAAATCTCCCAGATCTATATTCCAAAAGAAAGAATGACAAAAGGAATTTGGAGATTGCATTGAACTGCACTTTTTGCGCTGTAGGTTTTCTTGACATGTTGGACTTACCTCCTCCTGGAGCCACATCTCTTTCAAGCAAACACAAGGTATATCCATATTTGTTTTCTAAAACATCAGGAAATAGGCTCAGGGCCAAGTGTTCTTCACTCAGAGATGAAGTGGCCTCACTTTGAAAAGAGCTAGATTTTGCATAGGACACGAAAGCATCAAAATCCTTTTTATCTGAAGAATAGGAAAAAGTATAAAACATAAGTTATTTACTTTTTTAAAAACTATCATGGTACACATAAATGTGCTTGAAACCTATGGTAAATGAATAAGAAATAAGATTTGGGAATCCTTATTAAATTGCTTTTAAAAATTCATTTCAAAACCATACCACTAAGCAGTATTGCTTGTCCACCCAAAATCTAATTTATGAAGCACTTTTGCATTTTCGCTGAGGTTAGATCAAACAGCTGAGGCATTCTGTGACTGAATCACATGAACTCAGGAGTTTCTCTGAGCCTTCTTTGTACCTGCAGTGTTTCTGTGTCATTAGTCACATATCAAACAGGAGTCTGCCTCATCCCACATGATGGTATCCAGTAAGCAAAGTACTGCTGACACCCAGCACATTGTATCCAGGGATAAATAGTACTTCCTTGGAGACTTGATGGCACATATGCTGAGATGTGAATCCCTATGTCTAAAATACAGATAATCATAACTCCTTGGCAGGCTGTTTTAAGAGTTTCATGAGATAATGTATATGAATTTCTTGGTGCCTGGCTCATAGGAGGCATAAGATAAATGCCCATTACCCTTTATTTGAGATGGAAAACTATATGTATAGAACTTGCTACAGGATATTTTCAAGGTCGTATATGCCTTTGTTAGCTATATTATAAAATAATAATTTATATAATATGTAAAATAAATAGTCAACAGAAGCATATGAGACCTTGAAAATATCCTGTATTTTCATATGCATACTTCATAAATGCACGTGATTACTGGGACTAAGGAACTAACTGGAAGAAGTAGAAAATCCCAACACAACCCACAGGCTTTGGAATGGGATACACCAGATTCGTATTCCAGCAATCCCACAGTTGTTACAAAATGGTAAACAATAGCACTGATTGCTGTTGCTACTTAGTAGTACACCATGTTCAAGGTGAACCTAAAAAGATTCCATGGTGGATGGAAGTACCAGGTACCTAAAAGGAAGGTCCCAGAGTCAATAGAGGAGGATGTCAAAGAGCTGAGGTTGGGAAACTAACCTATGAAGAATCTCATTGCTCATGTAGGAAGGCTGAGACTTGTGAGGCATGGCTGACAGGTAGGTGTCGTGCTGTTTAAATGTGTAACACACCATAGTTGCCTCTATGTCTTCCATATCATGTGAAATCCCGGCAAACTAAAATTTTTCTATAACCTGGAAACTACATTTATTCAGTCATAAAATTAGACAACAGAGTATTAGATGATCTCTGAGGTCCTCTAGAATTCTAACAGTCTACATCTCCAAAATTTTGGTTACTCGGCACTAACTTCCAAACAGTCATATTGCTAAAGAATGTTACGGTGGCCAACAGAGGGCACTGCATCCCTGTGTTTGAAAGCCAACTTCTCCCTCCAGATCCGGTCACTAAAACATTATCTTTGCAAAGTAGAAAGAGAAAGGACACAAATCTTTCACCATTGACTGACTCTCTTACACAACCTCCAGAATCTTAAGGTAAATAGCAATTTAAGACATTTATTACATAATTTGCTTCACTCAAAAAAGCTATTAAAAATAAATCTTAAAAACATTTAGCTTAAGGATTTCTAGTATATATTCTCAATAGTTAGTCTAAAGAAAGACATGAATGATGCATTTCTTCTTTTTTTTTTCTTTTGAGATGGAATCTTGCTCTGTCACCAGACTGGAGTACAGTGGCATGATCTAGGCTCACTGCAACCTCCACCTCCCAGGTTCAAGTGATTCTCCTGCCTCAGCCTTCTGAGTAGCTGTGATTACAGGTGCCTGCCACCATGCCTGGCTACATTTTATATTTTTAGTAAGGATGGGCGGTTCATCGTGTTGGCCAGGCCAGTCTCAAACTCCTGACTTCAAGTGATCTGCCTGCCTGGGTCTCCCAAAGCGCTGGGATTATAGATGTGAGCCAACATGCCTGGCCACTTTTTTTTTTTTTTTTTTTAGATTGGGTCTCACTCTGTCATCCAGGTTGGAGTGCAGTGATGTAATCACGGCTCACTGCAGTCTTAACCTCCTGGGCTCAGGTGATTCTCCCATCTCAGCCTCCTAAGTAGCTGGAAATACAACGGGGCACCACCACACCCAGCTAATTTTAAAAAATTTATTGTAGAGATGGAGTTTCACCATGTTGCCCAGGCTGGTCTTGAACTCCTGAGCTCCTGCAGTTCCCCCCAACTCTGGCCTTCCAGAGTGCTAGAATTACAGGTGTGAGCCACCATACCCAGCCTCCCATGCAAGTCTTTATTCAGCCTTTCTTCCCCTAGGGATCTGACACCTCCTCACTGAAGTCCTAGTTTGGGAAAGCACTGGAGTTTGAAGGGGCCTCTCGGTAAGGTGAATGATTATCCCTGAAATCCAGCAAAAAGGGATTCTACCCTTTTCAAGCAACAGAGTCATTTACTAAAACTGCAAACTTCTAATCTTAGAGATTTCCTGGACTAGAAAAAAAACAGAAGCAGCTCTTCTATTCCAAAGAAGCAAACATCAATGAACATGATTATCCGACCCCAAATATTGACAGGCACATCATTAATAATAATAGCACTTGCATTTTACAGGACTTCTCACTTTTAGGGGCATTCTCACCATCTAAAAAGCCCTCATTTTACAGATGAGGTTAACTAAGGTAACAGCTAATGAGATCTCTTAAGCCAGGCAATCTGTGCCCAAATCTCAACGCCTTCCAGTGGTTCAATTTTAGGCACATGACTTCCTCTCTCTCTGCCTGGCTGGTAGGATTGCTGTGACCATTAAAGTAGCTAACACACATGACAGGAATACACTCCAGTCCTCAAGAAACAGCCATAGCTGACCATTTACAGTGTGCTGGGCGCCATTCTAAATACTTAATGTGGCCGGGGATGTTAGCTTATGCCTGTAATCCCAGCACTTTGGGAGGCCGAGGCAGGTGGATCACCTGAGGTCAGGAGGTGGAGACCAGCCTGGCCAACATGGCGAAACCCTGTCTCTAGTAAAAACACAAACAATAGCTGGGTGTGGTGATGCACGTCTGTAATGCTGACTACTCAAGAGGCTGATGTAGGAGAATTGATTGAACCCGGCGGGTGGAGATTGCAGTGAGCTGAGATAGTGCCACCGCACTCCAGCCTGGGAGACACAGCAAGACTCCGTCTAAAAATAAATAAGTAAATAAATACTTAATGTGTCTTAAGAATGCATCAAAGAGCCCTCATAGCATCCTTTGCAATTGGTGCTATGACAATCCTGTTTTATAGATGAGGAAACAAAGGCACAGAGATAATCAGTCATTTTCCCTTTTCCTTTAGGTTGGTTATAGAGGCATGATATTTAAGTCCAATATGTTTCACAATAGCATTGTCTACAAGATTTCCGGTAACTAGAATGAAACAAAAAATAAATGTTTCTCCAGCCTTCCTTAGTGTGAGGTCACCAGCCCTGGAGGAAGGCATCAAAACCTTAGGGGCATTACTTTATCCAGTGGGGGGGTATTTCTTTCTTCAGCTCCTCCCTCATGCTCTGCCCTGGCTGGCAGATGACATCTGAAATTATTTTCTAAAATAACTCTGAAGAAACAAAGCCAAAGTGTAGTGATGGTATTTTCTGTCATCCTGCTCCAAGTCAATTCCGAGAGGAAAAGTCAGAGGGCTGCATGTGGGGGTGACCTTACCCCCGAGCGTCTCGTCCTTGCTCTGGTAGGTCCGGTACAACAGAACTATTTCAATCCAGTGCCTGTAGAGGAGGGCACTCACCGCCAGCAAGGCCACCAGGGTCCCGACAGTGCCGAGCAGGATGTACAGGAGCACCACTGCGGAGACAGGGCCTTTGTGAAGAGACACCGAGGCAGCGGGCTTGGGCCCAGACCATGTTCAGGCCAGCACTGTGGCCCACCCAGCACCTTTTCCAGCTCTATCATTTTATCAAAATCATTGCCACTAGCAGCAGTTTTTGTGAATCTGGAAATCTCTTAAATCACATAATGGAAAACTACTCAGCCATAAAAAGGAACAAAATAATGGCATCTGTAGCAACCTGGATGGCAGAGGAGACCATTATTCTAAGTGAAGTAACCCAGGAATGAAACACCAAACATTGTATCTTTACACACGTAAGTGGGAGCTAAGCTATGAGGATGCAAAGGCATAAGAATAATACCATGGCCTTGAGGGACTGAAGAAGAAGGGCGGAAGGAGGGGAATGAGGGATAAAAGACTACACATTGGGTACAGGGCACACTGCTTGGGTGATGGGCATGCCGAAATCTCAAAAATCACCACTAAAGAACTTATCCTTGTAACCAAAACCACCTGTACCCCCAAACCCTACTGAAATAAATTTTTAAAAACATCATATTTTGAGAACTGTCTTACAATAAACACTAGAGACCCCAGGGGAATGGGTAATTCCTGATCAGGGTGGCCGCAAAAACTTATCACATTCATTTTATTTTTTTCCCTCATAAACGGCCACATGATCCATTTGCATCTTTCTCATTGCATATTGTAAATTATTTCCCTGTATTATTATTCCTACTGAAGCCTAAATTTCCAGAGACCAGGAGTCCCATCTGGCTAACCTGATGCAAGGGGTCTCCTACACATTCCCATGGGGAAAAACGCCCTTCACAGAGTGTCTACTATAGGCCAGAACACACTTTGTCTTATTTAAGCCTCACAAACATTCAAATATGCTTATAACTATAATTATCTATTAATTAAAGAAATGAATGATATAAACTTCATCTCTAAACATCATCTTAAAGAAATTGACATGCTGTTCTTCACCTAGAATTTCTATGCCAGCTTTTTTTTTCATATATCAGTAGTATACCATTTTGAACAATGAACAAGATTACTCCTTCTCTCTTCCTTTCTCCACTCATCAGAACATGAATCCATCATGTTCTCTGGATTTGGAAGCCAGGAAAGAAAAACTAGAAAGGGGGCTAGGTCTTAGCACAATGCCTGCCACTCAGGGCACGTAAGCCCTCTAGCAATTGTAGAATGAATGCAAGAATGAATGAGTGAATGAATGAGTTGCTTTTCCAACACAGCCTCCCAAATACAGAGTATTACTTAAGAGAACTAACTCCAAACCAATAATATGCAGTTTACCAGTTGTGTGGCTTTGGTCAAGGTATAAATGGGTTGACACAGGAAAGTGCTTAGAACAATGTCTGTCATCTGGAAATATAATCACTATCATCATTATTACTATTCTTTAGGAAAGCTCCTCCCCTCTCAAGGGAAAGCAGCTTCATGCCTCCTGGGCAAACTTCTGGGCTTACCTCCTCTCTTTTCCTTCAGTTGGATGAACTGGGTTGTGTTTCCTATGGAGTTTTGGACAAAGCAAACAAACTTCCTGCGAAGATCACGCTGAGTCACTTTTTCCAAGACGATATCACGCTCAATGATTTCACCCTTTACAGTGGATTCAATACTAAGAAAGGAGAAAAAAACCACATGCATTCAGTAACATACATTAACACCCATTTGCAGCATTTGGAACTCTCGTACAAGCATTTGAAACAGTCTGGCTTTTAGAGAACTGTGAAATCAATAGTATAAGAAGATACCAGGAAAATGTAAGATGGTCTGATAAGAGGGCTCTTTCTTGACTCAATTATTGACTCTTCTAAGCATTCATGCTAAGACATTATTTACTTGTGGGACTCATCTGACCTTCCTTACTTGAGAATAGATAGTAATAATGCATTAATAAAAATATTTAAAATAACCAACTCCTACTGAAGGTTCACTATGTATCAGTTCCTCTTCTGTGCACCAAATATGGACTCTAGTGTCCTCCATTCCTCACCTCCCAGAAACCACAGAGTTTAATGGAATCATACCAGCTTTGGCCAGTGACAAGGACGAGGCAAAGAAGATGGGCGAGCAGGCCCAGGCCACATCAGGGTAATTGGGCAACCTGATTCCTGGGCCTGTGACACACACCTCCACTTAGGAAGTTGAGACTCTTGGCATTTATTCACAATTTGAGTTCTCTGAAGTTGCCGATTTACAATCCATCTTTTTTTTTTTTTTTTTTTTTTTTTGAGACAGAGTCCCACACTGTCACCCAGGCTGTAGTGCAGTGGCACGATCCCAGCTCACTGCAATCTCCATGTCCTGGGTTCAAGCAATTCTCCTGCCTCAGCATCCCGAGTAGCTGGAACTACAGGCATGCACCACCACGCCCAGCTAATTTTTTTTGTAATTTTAGTAGAGACAGGGTTTCACTATGTTGGCCAGGATGGTCTCGATCTCCTGACCTCATGATCCGCTCACCTCGGCCTCCCAAAGTGCTAGGATTGCAGGCGTGAGCCACTACTCCCAGACTATAATCCATCTTTGTGTTAAGAAATCTTGTATATGTGAATGATGTTTTAGGCTGTGTTGCTCTGAGCCCCTGATGCCAGCTCCTATTTACTAAGTGCTTTCTACCTGTCAGATTGTGATAAGCATAATACCTCCACTGCAGCCACCCCTCCCAGTGAGCTTGCAAAGTGAAGGTTATTATCCATAGATTATCAATGGGGTGATGGAGGCTCATAGGAGTTAAGGGTCATGTTGCCACTAGATAGAAAATGGGTTTAAACCCAAGGGTGTGTAATGTCAAACTATACCTTCTTGACTACACTCTCCTACTATGAACTCTAATGCAGTAACAGCTTAAGATAGGCCTCAATGACCTTTTTGATCTTAGAAATTCTTGCTAAATTTTATTGTTGTGACCAAAATTTGTTTTTCTTTTTTGTAATGATGTATACTTTTCAAAATGATACTGCATTGGCTCATTGATATCTGTTAAATATCAGAAGAAGGTACTTAATCTATAAACTCTTACTCTGGGTCAGATCTTTGAAAAATCAGGGAATGTGTCCTTTAGAGACATGTCTGATTGGCCATATTGGATCCAGGCCTGACTGGAGATCTTTTCTTGTGATTGGATAGCTCCAAATATCTAGGCTTTTCTACTGGCCAAAATCTCTCACTAATAAATTCTTACCACTGATCTGGGTTCTGTGCCCCAGAGAGCGACAAACCAAGTCTAATTTCTGAAACAACGTACTAGCTCCCAAGGATTTCAAGACAGAGAGCCCTCATCTGAGCCTCTTTTTCTGAGCTAAGTTGCTTCAGCTGTTCCTCACTTCACATATTTTTTTGTCAGACTTCTTATTATGATGCCGTTTCCCCTGGATGTTTCCCAGAGTGTTCATTGCCCCACACATCTGGATCCTCGGACTCGCCACGCTCTGAATGGGCGACATGGGTGAAACGCAGAATGAGGGTAGGCAGCATTTCCTCCCGTTTTTTGGACGTGTTACTTATCTCCAAGCAGTTGGATCAGTACGTCTGTCTGCTCAATAGCCTGACTTTGAGGGCAGCCACGTCAAACTGTTTCTACAAATTGAGGTTTAAAACAACTTACATATTTCATTCAATGGCCCTTTGCACTTTGCATTTCTGTACTTTTATTTTCACCACGAATCTGTGCTCATGGCTATACCATCAACTGCATATTTCAGAAGTTTCTAAAGGTAAAAGCATCTCTTCTGAATCATAGAGAACAGAAACCGTGAGTTTTTTCCTTACCTTTTCGCTTCAGGTACTGAGACTTCCCACTCCAGGTCAGAATCTTTGATGTACCATTTTATGACAGGTTTAAAGACCCTTTCAAAGCCAAACAGTGCTTTGCAGCTAATATTTAAAGGCCTTCCTGAAAATGAAGAGGCCAGAGAAAACAAGAAGGAAGCTCATGAGAACACTTTGTCTTATGACTGGAAGGAAGATGTGGCCAGAAGCTGTTTTCTGATACAGTCAGGTCTGCAGGTAGAATATGTGTGCCAGAAATAATGAAATGTCTACACATCTTTCATTTAGAAACACATGAAACCAATTACGTTTGTTCTAATGGACAATCCTTCTATCTCAACCATATAACCATATGTTCTTAAAATGAAGATGAGCGTGATTATACCCCTAAGGGTCCTTACGTGGACTGAGAGAGACACTAAGAAAATGAGGAGTTTCTGAGATCAGCCCAGTCTCCTACACCTGTTGAAGAAAAGAAAATTTTACTATCCAATATGTTTATTAAGTAAAAATAAGGTTATTGTAACATGTGGTTTAAATAAAAACTTATTTTTATATTAAGCTACTTTTCTGAACAATTCAGTGTGAATGGGCATGTATATTATGAGGCTAACTTCTTTCTATCCATTTTTTTTTTCCCACGAGGAATATCCAGATATGCTCTACCTCAAACTTAATATTTACTTATGAAATGTTTAGGAGCTCTTTTTGAAAACTCATCTTTGCACCTTAATGTTTTTCCACCAGTAATACCTTATAATTCACTAATATATATGTGACTTAACTGTTTGAATTAATTTAATCCCCCCCCCCTCCCCGCTTTCCTCCTTCCTTCCGTTTTCCTAATGTTGACCGTATAGCTACGGCTATCTCTAGAGTCAGGACACACCACTACTGCCACCTAGTGATCTTATAACATGTATGTTTACATTTCTTTCTAAAATAATCTTTTAGTAGCATTTTAGAAAATATTATTAAAAGAAAAGCAGCATTTTATTTTACATACAGCAATTCTTATTTGTCTGCGTAGAAAGATGCAGATATTATTGAAGTTGACAAAATAAAAGGAGACCACAGGGAAGTGAATCTCTCCTCAATCCCCGAGAAGACACTACTTTGGAATACAAATTGTTTGGGCAAGGGTTGTAGAATTCCACTACAATTCTCTTAAATGCCACACTAAATGTCATATTCATAAGAGTTAATGTTACTCAAGTTGGTGCATTTATAGTCATAACTGATAGACCTGACCAACATACACAAAACCACCTGTTCCTGGGGTAAGTAAGGAAGAATAAAATCTATTGATCATGTTTTACAATCCAGCCACTTAACATACATTGTCTCGTTATTTCTCAATATAATGTTTTTATTTTTTTCTTTGAGATGGAGTCTCGTTCTCTCACCCAGGATGGATTGCAATGGCACGATCTTGGCTCACTGTAACCTCTGTCTTCCAGGTTCACGTGATTCTCCTGCCTCATCCTCCCGAGTAGCTGGGATTACAGGCACCCACCACCACACCTGGCTGCCACTGTGCCAGGCCTGCAATATAATCTTTTAGGGTCATTTTTATGGTACCTACTTGCAGATTTAAATACTGAGGCTTAAAGGGTGAAGTAACTGTCCATGGTTACAAAACTAGTCAATGGCTGAGTTGATTCAAACCCAATTCTGTTTGACTGGAAATCCCAATGTTCTTTTCCTTCTGTCCCACTTAGACCTGCTCCCAGCAGCACAATGTCATTCAAAGGTGATGTAATGAGACCCAGCTTACCAAGTTCTACCTCCAGTGTGCTCTCGATGGGATCCAGAATATCTGGTTTGAGTTTAGTGTCTGCGACTGAAAGATGAAAACAAAGATTACTATTTGCATGGAGAAGTCTCAGGGCCTGCTTGATGAAGATTTGCATGCACAGCCACACTTTGATCTAAATATGTTGAAGCTCTGTCTTCAAGCTCGTTTACTCATGATCTGTAAATTTAGGAATTCTGGTTTCCATGTAAAAATCTTGCCCCCTAAAATGACCGCCACATCAGGTTGTGGGTGCTGGTAGAACATTAGCAGTTAATTGATCCGTATATGCCTGTGTGCATTTTCTTTCACACTGATCCTGCCCCTTGGAGACTTAGCCCTTATCCCTGTCTTTTCCTACAAGATTTCTTTGTGGTACCATCTGGCTGAGTAATCCAACTGAAACGAGAATCCACCCGAGAAATTGTGAAAGTCAAGCATATCTGAATCCACCCCTCCATCCTTAAACTCACAGTTTATTTCAAAATAAAGAAGAGTTCAGTCCTTAATTAACAAGTTTATCCTTCAACTTCTTGCCACAAACTTTCAGATATGCCTCCACTGTCAAACTTCCTCGTGAAGGTGTCTTTTTCTGGATAAAGGAAAATTCAGGGTCTTTGTTGTTGGCATCATCCACTCTTACTTCTCAAAGGCCTCCTTCTCTCCTTTGCACCATCTTGGTCCTGTATATTTAACTTCTCTCTCTCTCTCTCTGACTCTTTCTCCCTCTCTCTCTCTTTCTCTGGGCTTCTTCTCATTAGCATTTATTCATGCTCAGGCTCATCATCCTTAAAAAGAGAAAACGTTCCCTGCCTCACATCCCAGCCTCACTCATTCTCCTTCCTTCCCAGCCAAATTCCTGAAAGGTAGTTCTCTGTGCCCATTCCCTCCATCCCCTCACCTCCCATGGAATCTGATTTCTGCCACCATTATTACTCCACTGAAATTGCTTTAGCCAAATTCACTGGTGACACTCATGCACTTAAATCCATTGGACATAATCAAGTTTTTAATTTACTTTCCCTCTTATCAGCATTGGACACTGTTGGCCGTGCTCTCTTTGAAACCCTCTCTTCTTTTGGTTTCATGTTCTCGTACTCTGCTGCTTACCTTCAACCTCCATATTCACTTCTCTGTGTCTGTCCCTTCCTCTATATCTCTTTTGACTATTAGTTCTCTCTTAGTATTCTTTCACTCCTCTTGATTCCTCTGGGTAGTAAGTTTATTCTCTAGTCCTCTTCCTTGTGAAAGGTCTTGATGCTTGAGATGTCTCTCCTACATCATCAATTTCACTTCCTCTGTTGCTCTTCTCTCCATCCTTCCACTGATACTCACTTGCTGATGTATGTTTCCATCCCCTTTAAGGATCTTCCTCTTTTCTACCTTCTCAAGCATTGAAATATTCCTGAGTTCAGCTCTAGGACCTTCTGTCTCTATGCCCACTTCCTAGGAGATCTCATTCAGCTCTTTGGCTTCAGATATCATGTAAAAATTGACTGTCTTCACATTCACATCTCTAGCCCTAATTTCTCCAGACTGGATTATCCAAATGCCTACTTGTTATCATGACTTAGATGACTAAAAGTCCTTTTAAGCCTAATACTTAATTTCCTCTTCAAATGTTCTTTTCCTTCAGCCTTTTCAGTCTCATTAAATGGTGTCACCATTCGCTAACTTATCCAGGGCAGAAAACAAAAACATGCTCGATTGTTCTCTTTCTCCTACCTTCTAAATAAAATCCAGCATCATGCTCTGTTGAATTACAAAAGCCCAGCCACTTCTCATCATGTCTTCTAGGTCTATTCACAGCACAAGCAGTTGAACCATGAGTCAAGCCTGCTGCTCCAAGACTGTGCCTGCTCTCATCCTTCGTATTGACGTGCTCTTGTCAGCACATTGCCTCCTTGACCAGCTCAAAGCCTGGCTTGCATCCATAGCTCCTGCTTTCCCTCATCCTTGCTCCCAAACACCAAATTCTTTGCATGTACCTCCTAAATATTTCCAAAGTCATCCACTTATCTCCATTCCCTTTACCACTCTCTAGTTCAGATCCCCATCAGCAACTGCCTGCTTGACCACAGAGCTTCCTCACTCTTCTCCCTGCCTCCATTCTTCCCAATTCCAACCCAGCAAACAAAGCGATCTATCTTGAATACGAATTTATTCATGACATTCTCCCACTTAAAACCCTCAATACCTCCCCCTTGTTCCTTCATTAAACCTCACACATATTAGAAGAGTGTGATGTCAGTCCTGCTCCCAGATGCTCTCCTTCATCTCCTGGACATCAGCTCTGCTGCTGCCTTGGTCTAGAATGGAAACTTCTCTACCCTTACTGAGCTGGTGTGTCCTCATTTCTCTGTTCTCACTTGGACTGGGCTTCCCCAGGTTGGGTCTGGTGGGCGTCCCATGTGCCCATAGTGTTCCTTTCTCTCGCTACACTGTATTATGATAGCCTGCTTCACCTTTGTCTTCTTACCAAAACAGAAAGTTCCTGGAGGTCAGATAAAGCATCCGGGCACTCATCCTTGCAGCCTTAGCTCCAAGCCTGACACATATTAGGTGTTCAGTACATATTTGTGTGAAAATGAATAAATGCGAGAATGAATGGCTAAGTGAGGAAGACAGGAATGATGGCAGAGAGGGCTTCACTGAAATAGAGGCAACAGATGTTGCAAGGTGTCTGTTGGGTGAGAGAAAAGCAGATTATGCCATTGAGAATTTGAGGGGCTGAGTTATGACTGAGTAAATTAACAATTACACATTGCTTGCAGGGGAAAAGTGGTGTAAGTGGGTTTTTCACATTCTAACATCTTTCAAGGAGCAATGTAATAATAGAAAATGACATCTAATCTATGTAAGATCTAATCTAAAGTAATATAAAATTATTCTGAAGTGGCAGAGGGTGCAAGGGCCAGGAAGTAGGCAGGAGAATTTCACTTGATCATGGGGTGCTCCATGTGGTTTGTATCTTGTAACAAAAGAAGAAGATTAATAACTAAGAACAACATCAACCACTCTGTAGCTCTTTGATACAAAGCATGAGTGACTGGCTCTCTTATGTTTTGACTCCTTAGACCACATTTCAATTAATGCTATCACATAGTTGATTCAAGCTGATACTTGCAAGTCTAGCAAGAATGATCCTAAGGTAAAAATAGACAAGCCATGGAAGAAAGCCAATGAACCAAAAAACGTATAGCAGATGTTCAACCTCATTATTAGTCAGAGAAGTATACTGTGGAGTAGAAAGCAAACAAACAAAAACAAAACTCCACTTAACATCAGTCATAAAGTCTGATAACAGCAAATATTACTTGGGAATAGAAGGAATTTACTGCCAATGGGGGTGTAAATTGGCAAACCAATAATTTAGTATAATACTATGTGTTTATGACACAAAACACATTTCATAACTCAAAACAATATTCTATTTTGTCAATAGATGCATACATATGTAGAAAAAGCATAAAAACATAAATGGAAATGTGATTATACTGCAGAAGCAAAGGCTTGGAAGGGAATGGAGTCATAGACCTCAAGTTGTTCTTCCAATATTTTGTTTCTTTAAAGAAAAAAAGTATGATTTTAAGCATGTGGGAAAATGGTAACACAGTTAAAACTGGTGATAGGTACATGGATGACAATATTTCTCTGTGTGAAATGTTTAATACATTTTTTAAATGTATTACAATAGCAATTCAGGGGCATACTCATGGACAACCCAACTTGTGAGAATTTGAATCTGTTTCAGAACTTAGCCTTCCTTGGGGGATGGCAACCTTGATGTTTGCCCATGTTGAAGATTTTACATGATTACAAGTATATGACTATTTTTTTCCCTAAGAGGAAAAAATTACTAAGCCAAAAGAAGATAATTTTAATTTGGTGCTCAGATCTCAGATCTTGAGACAAAAATCTCACTTACCAATGGTTCTCACTTGAACAACAGCTCTGACTGTCCATGAACTTGCAGTATCCGACAGCGTGTAATCACATACATATCTGCCCTGGTGATAGTCATAAACTTCATCCACTGTGATTTGGTTGCTCCTTTCCTTAGGGAGAAGGGTTCCATTCTAATCCAAAAAAAAATATTTTAACCAGATAATTTTTTGCCGTAGAAAAACTTTATGAATTACATCCCTACAGAAAAATCTTACAAATTTGAACAGGGAGGAAGAAGGTCAATCCAAGATAAGGGTATCCCACAAGCTATGAAGGCATTGTGTTGAAAAACTGTACTTATAAATTTGAAACAAGAGACATTTTCTAATACAATTGCATTGTGTGTAGAGATGAGACAGTCAAACCTCCAAACCTGATCAGCCCCTGAAGAGCTATTTAACATAGGACTTCCCAGAGCATGCATGACTTGGAGCCCTGAGATTATTCTAGAAGACCTGTAGTGTTCTAAGGGCTGATACCAAAATGAATTTTTTTAATGTGTGTGTGTGTGTATGTATATACAGGCATGTATATATGTATCTATAAAAACATATATTGTATATATTTACTTATATAAAAGATATATACTTATAAATAAATACTTTTATGTATTATATAAGCAGAGGTTCTGGAATGTGAGTGACTTTTTTCTCTCTCTGACAAAGCTGGTAATTGAGAGCACTGAGAATCAACCTCATTTTTTCTGGTTGCGTTTCATATTGCAATTGAGGAATTTCCCTTCCACTTTGCCTGTCTACTGGTGGAAGCTGGGATTCCCCCATGCCACATCTCTGGTGTGTTTCTTGTGTGCCAAGAAGGAATTTATAGCAGGCTGGAAAGGAGACTAAGGGTGGGGGCAGACTGGCCAGAGAAGGGCATCTGTGGGCAGGAAGCAAAATGAGGCCATGAGGTGGTGACAGACAAGGCTAAATATGTACCAGGTGATCCAAAGAATCAAGAACTTTTCAAAAGGAAATTTGAAAACATAGAGGGAAATTCAAAGATAAAACTTCAGAGCACACAGTGAGAGCACACAAAGACCAGAATCTGGGGGAGAGGCGTGTCGTAAATTGCATGAGAACGTAACGGAGGGAGGACACAGAGCCGTCACTAAGACCTCACCTAAGCCACTGGGGAGGATGGGGAATAACGTATCTTTTTTATCCATAAAAAGGTAAGTGAGGCTTAGTATGTATCGTTAAGACATTATGAAATGGAACATAGAGGAAACATCAAAGAAAAGAAATTAGGGAGAAGCAATTTATGCCAAGGATGATGGGAAACCCATTCTAATTATACAATTACAGGTCATCCTCATAGGACAAAGAAAGGCTAATGCAGCTGCACAGGGAACTCTTTCTTTTTCTCATATGTGAAGCAGTCACGAACAGAATATGGAAACAGGAACATCCACCAGCGTGAATCTGGAAGAATAGTGCCAGTAAGTCCTCAAAAGAATGGAGGCATGAAAAAAAAAAAAAAAAGAAAGAAAGACACTGCAAAGGACTTTTAAAGAAGCAGGGAGAAGAACACGGTTATTCTTACTCCTAGGGGCAGGTATTACAATATTATACCGCAGTATTATCAATTTATTATACTATCAGTCGGTACAGCTACTGAGCATCATGCACACTGTGTTATTCTGTGGGAATGGTGCTTCCTGGACTTGGCAACACAGTAGAGCTCCTAGCTGGACTTCCACTACCTAGTGCGGGAGGACTCCAAAGATCTGCATTTCTAGCCTCGTCCTCCCTGGCCCATCTTTCCTGGTGCATTTCAGGTTTTCATGTCCATTTTTGTGTTCCCTAACATAGACTCATTGTGTCCAGGTCTGTATTCATCGCTGCTTTCCTGCCCCTACTTGAATTTACTACTACTGTCTCTAACTTGGTAAATACTGTGAATATGTGTGGAGCCAGAAAGACACCAAATAGTCTGCTCATCTATTTTACACATTCTCCTGGTCAAAGCTTTTAATTTTCTTTTTATTACATGAAATATCACTAGCATCTGCCACCTTCTTTCTGTTTCTACTTCTTTCTGTCCTATCCTGGATCAGGACTCACACTTGTAAAGTTCAAACACATCAACAAGGTTCCAATAACCATCATGAGAAATCCACAGCCTTTATTTCCATTCTCGTCTTAATTAAACCACTCAAGAACTCTCAGCTCTCATCACAGTGACCATTCACTGAATATATCTTTTGTTTTTCTGTTTCTGTTGCCTGTGATGCTCTTTCCAGCTAAGTGTAGTTGTAGTCTCTTGCCCCGATTTTCAACTAGGAACCTTCTATTGATAGATTTTTAAAAATATTATTTATCTTTTAATGGGAATAGAGTATATTATGGAAATTATTGATAATGGGCTGGATGTCAATTTCTAGTGAAAGTCTTGAATTAATTACTTAACAGATGGTTTATGAACCCTTAGAAAAGGAAGTGATGGTTAATATCCGCCAGCTTGCATTTGCTAACAACAACCATATAAAGGTAATTTCATTGTCCACAATTAAATAGACTAGAGGTTCAGAGGAATACAGCAGACACAGAGTGTCTTCACTGCAGTGAGTCATTTGGAAAATGTTCTCATGATCTCTCTGTTAAACAAAAGGTACATTGTGATCTGAATGATCAGATGTAGGACTTTTGAGTGCCCTTTTAGTTAATTAAGCAATATCCTTGTGTTGTAGATGAATGGATCATATGTAACTAGAAGGATCAATCTGGAGTCAACAGCAGAGCACTCTGCTCCTGGAGCTAGCCTGGTTGATAGTTTTAGCAGGGGCTTGAGTGAGAACATGTCATGCATGCTGATCTCATCTACATGCCTCACAAATCTGCATGTGATGTGTAATATGTCAGCATTCAAAATCAGAATTCCAACCTCTTGACACATAGAATGAGCTAAAAACAACAAATTATCATTTAACAGAAATAAATATAAAATCATGAACATAAGTTACAAATTCTACTCTATAAACAAAAAAAAAAAAATAGAGAGAGCTGGCTTGATTTCCGTTTTTGTGAAACAACTTGACTTCCAATTGAGAATAAATCAATCCTACAGTGGGGCTGTCCCAAAGCTAAAACAATTGTGGGCTGTGAAAATATTCTGTTCTGAACAAGGAAGGAAATGTTTCCTCTGTTTCAGTGTTGGTTAGACAGCATATAGATGATTGTTTTGAACAGGTGTTAGAAAGCTGTCCAGATCATCAGAGTTCTGAAATGTTAATAGTGAGAATAATCAGATGGGCCAATGTATCAACCTTGGAACAGTTTTGAAAAATATAATAGATTATCTTCTTCCTATTTAGAAACACATTGAATTATCTTCTTCTCAATTTAGAAATACATTAATCTTTGGATCTACCCAGTCTCACCATGCTCAGCAATTCTCCACAGTGCTAGGCCCACAGGGTGCCAAGGTGCCAGTTATAAGAACTGGGAAATGAGAAGAAGTATCAGGTATAGGTACAAAACGTCCTTGTGGTTGGGCTCACACCTGTAATCCCAGGACATTGGGACACCGACGCGGGGAGAATCACCTGAGGTCAGGAGTTCGAGACCAGCCTGGTCAACATGGTTAAACCCCAGCTCTACTAAAGATGCAAAAATTAGCTGGGTGTGGTGGTGCATGCCTATAATCCCAGCTACTTGAGAGGCTGAGGCATGAGAATCACTTAAACCTGGGAGGTGGAGGTTGCAGTGACCCAAGATTGCTCCATTGCACTCCAGCCTGTGTGACAGAGGGAAAGACTCCATCTCCAAACAAATAAAAATAAAAATAAAAATAACTTCTCTGTGGTTGGCATGATGGCTCTCACCTGTAATCCCAGCATTTTGGAAGGCCAAGGCAGGAGGATTGGTTGAAACCATAAGTTTGAAACCAGCCTCAGCAACATAGTGAAACACCTTCTCTACAAAAATAAATTTTTCAAATTAGCTGGGTGCAGTGGTGTGTGCCTGTAGTCCCAACTACTTGAGATGCTGAGGCTGGAGGATCACTTGAGCCCAAAGTCCAAGACGGCAGTGAGCTGCTATTACACCACTGCTCTCCAGCCTAGGCAGCAGAATGAGATCCTATCTCTAAAACAAACAAAAACCTTCCATGCAACATTGGGCTTAAAAGCAACCCAGCAGCCATGTCAGAAGTGTGGCAAGATAATGTGGCATGAGTGAGACTGTTTTAAACCACCAATGGAAATGTCACTGAAGGCACAAGTCCTACTAACAGAAGATAACAACAATGTCGTCAAAACTCAAATCTTGGTGCCCTAGGCCAGTACAGAAGAGACTTTCCTACTGCCCTTCATTATAATTTGTTTTGTTGCAAGATTTGCTTAGCTGAAGATCGTAAAAATGCTGCTACATTAAACGTAACTATTATTTATTTAAGTTGAAGTATGTTTATGCAAACACTATTTTTTCATTACATTTTTAAAACTAGAAAAAGTTAGTGGAAAAATAATAAGTAACTCACTTTAATTCTGACTTTTCAGTCATTAAATATGTTAATTAATGATATAATTATTATAATTATATTATTAATTATTGGTTATTATAATTTAATCTCCAAGCCAGACCCCAGCACTTTCCCACAGTCTTCCTTAGGCCAAGAGGCAAGCACAGGTCAGCAATTACCTGCAGAAGGGGCAGCTGGCCTCACCCAGGGCCAAAAGATGAGTGGAAACCCAATCAAGCCTCAATGCTCTGCTTAAGGTTATGCCTGTCCCAGAGGCAAGACCAAGCCCACACACATCTGTGTAGCCTGGCTTCTGCCCCCGCCCATCCCAAATTGCTGAACAGCAACCCCAGATAACTCACTTTGCCTCAGAGCCTAGCATGTTGTCCTGCCCAACTACACATTCTAACAACAATATTTCTCAGCCAGATGTAGGGCATTTGGGTGCCCTTTTAGTTAATTAAGCAATACCTTCATGTTGTGGATGAATGGAAGGCATAAGGCTATTGCTCTGTGACTACTTCTGATCAGGCAAAGTTCCAGACTATTTGGGAAGACAAGCCTGCAACTTTGCCTGATCAGAGGCAATCACAGAGCCCAGCCAGCGACTCAACCTGACCATAGAGTTCAGAAAGATCTCACTGGAACATGAAGCACAGCAAGCATT